GGGGGGGGCGGGGTATGAGCAGCTGGAAGCCAGCAACTATTTCTGATGGTGTCTCCCACCCCAAATGTCAGGCTCTCGGTCTGAATTCTCTCTGAAGTTATCCCAACACTCCTCAAAAAGACTGAGAATCAACGGGGGTAGGCAATAACCTAATAGACTTCTAAGGGGCACAAATCTTAAACGCCCAGTTGTCTACCCTCCTAGGCAGTTACTCAGTAGGCATGATAATGTGATATAAGACATGGATTTCCGTGGGGGAATGTCTGTCTACAAGCCTGACAATTAGATTTTAAAACCCTCAAAAGTTTGACAAGATCAAATACCCAGAGCTTTGCAAATACTCTACTTGGGTTAATCCCTTCCAAGATAGTTAACCTTTCTAATTTTCTTGGACTCGCCTCACCCAAATCCAGCACGCAAACACTAGAAGCCAGCCATCATCTCTGGGATCCCTACCTTCGTTCTTCCTGCCACAACAGCTGCCTCTCAGGGCTCACCGTTAACCCATTTCCATTCTGTCTGACTTGTGGATCTTCTGGGGTGGAAAATTATTTAAAGATAATTCTTACTCTATAGAGCAACTGGTAATAATGAGAAAGACTAATGGGCACTCATAAGCTGTTATAAAACACAGTTCCCGTTCTATGCATTATTCATTTATGCAAACTGTTGTAAAGTCACCACCTTCACTGTGCAATTAGGCTGGAAAAGTCCCCAGACTCAAGATTACATTGCCGTGCATACTTGTGAGGCTTGGTTCCCTAACATTTTCATCAGTGGCCTGCTTAAAAGAGCAGAGAACAAGCTCATTAAATTCTTAAATGGTGGGATGTCCAGAGTATTCGAGAACAAGATTAGAACCAGGTCTGGCCAAAGGAACAAAATCATCAGAGTCAAATGTGTTCTTCTGAGGCAGGCCGGAAAAAGATGGGCTCCCCTCCAACGCACATGGAGCCGCAGGACACTGTTTAGGAGTAAAAACTAAGAAATAGACTGATGGAGGGAAATGAAGGTGTTCAATGGAACACAAGGTTCATTGGGATTTCTGCGACCCCTTAATATGGGGTCAGACCTCGAATCCATGGATTCTGGAAGCATGAATCCATTTACCAGATTTCTAAGACGTCCAGGGAGCTCTTTTGTTTTCCTGTGCTTTTCTTGCTTCAGAATCCTGGTTTCCTCTGAATGAGCTTGGTTGATGGTTCATTGCACTGTCCTGGTCTGCGTGCCCTGCAGTAAACTGTGTTGCCTCATGAAAGCATTTCACTTTCACGAGCAAAGCATGGCCTCCTGCAAAAGAACCGGACCCTCTCCTTCAATGCCCTAGCTCTCTCGTTTCGCCTTTCCAATTAAATGACCCCCAAGTAGTTCATGTCCAATGAAATAACCCCCCAATTCCAACAAGGAATTCCCCTAAACACATGAAGTTCTGTCCCTCGGAGCAATCCCCAGGCTAGCTGTTTGGATAACACTATTTACACCACAGCCACCTAACCAAGGTGCCCTGGGTAAACCATGAGTCAATAATGCTGTAGCCAGAAGTCCTCAAGCACTGCCCATAAGTGGACAGGGGACTCACACACGACTGACTCGGTTCCAACTTGGTGGCATGGTGACTTTACCACATGCAATGTGTCAACCAGTGGGACTCGCTGGGTTCAGCTGTGGCGGGCCAGATTGCTGACTGCCAGCAAGGGCTATTTCAGAGTCTTGCTTTTGGGAGAAGTGCTGGGATTAGCAGTTCATTAATAGTCAGGGATTAGCAGTTCATTCATAGAGTTTCAGCAAACTTTTTACCTAACCTGCCTGTTTCACAGCGGGAGAAAACAGAGCCCGGAAAGTAGAGTGATGTTGATACGAATTTATACGGCAGATCTTGTTGTTCGCTCCTGTTAGCCCTTGACTTGGGGCATCTCCAACGTACAACCAAAATGCTGCTCGGTCCTGTGCCACTCCTGTGATAGGTGATGGGTTGGGTCATTGTCATCTATGGATTTTTCCACCGGCTCATTTCTTAAGTACACCACCAGGCTTGCTTCCTTGTCTGTCTTAGTCTGGAAGCTCCACTGCACCGGGTTGAGCCTACTCAGCAACATGCCGGCCCCCCC